TTTGGGCTTGACTTGTATGTCTGGTTCATACATTTCTAAAATACTCCATGATTGCATTGCTAGTGAGTGAACTATGTTTCTACGGTTGGGCAATCTCAACTCTCATAGAATCATAGAGTTGTAAGAGAGCATATGGGCCATCCAGTCCAACCCCCTGCTATGCAGGAAAAGCACAAAGTACCCCTGACAGTTGGTCACTAACATTGCATAATATATTTCAGCAAAGCAAATAAAGTTACTTAAAATTACATACTTATCTGTGTCTCCAGCAAAAAAATAACGTTTCACTTTATTAAGACAACATAGAAATTTAAGCCAGATTTGTACTCAAATTAGTCTATCGTGGGAGTATAAACAAGGTACAATAAAGTATATAATTTGTGAAATTTTATGGATGGTATGAGCTGTCATTGTTCTGTGTATAGATATGTATTTCCTCAAGGTGTTATTCTCAGTTTATCTTCTCCTCCAGCCATCTCATGCAATGCTCCCAGTCAGAGTTCCTTCTAAGTTTGTTTTCCTGCTGCACGAGAAGCCAATGAGTCCAAGAGCAAATCTAGCTTGAGCTCTCACAAGAAGCCAACATGACTCATTTCCATACCATACTTTGGAAATACAATGAGATGATATGACTAAGTGAAAACGATATTAATGCTCAGTAAAGTGGAAGGCAAAAGAAAAAGAGGAAGACACATTACAGATGGTCTGGTACCAAGAACTTTCTCTCTAAACTGTATGGTGTCACATGTTATGTTCTGTAGCCAGGCATAATATGGGAACTGATTTATTTTTATGTAAAGCAGACCTGTGTGCTGTGATGCATTTGTGTGTCAACTACAGTATGTAGGTGTGTTGCACGAACGTAATGCGAAACTGGGTTGCTGTGTATGGCCATGTTTCAGAAGCATTCTCTCCTGATGTTTCACCAACTTCTATGGCAGGCATCCTCAGCATTTGTGAGGTTTGTTGGAACACCTCCCAACAAAGAATTTCGCCAGGCAGAAGGTAGCCAGGCTTTGAAGCTGCAAGGCTATTCAATGCCAATGAAGCTGGCCAATTGCAACATTCCCACTTGCCTCAAACAAAGAAGAGACATTCCACAAATATATAAACCTCACTTGCCTAGTTTCCAACAAACTTCACAACCTCTGAGGATGCCTGCCATAAATGTGGGTGAAACGTCAGGAGAGAATGTTTCTGGAATATGGCCATACAGCCTGGAAAACTCACAGCAACCCAGACTTCAACAACACGTAATGAGAAACCTCTGAGTCTATATGATATGAAAGGTTTAAATAGGATACCTTGTGTACCCATGCTTTTAGTTATTACAGTTTATGTATGTATTAGTATCCCTTATAAGGAGTTGGTTTAACCTCTGGTTTGCTAATAAAACTGAATTACTGTGTCGCTAAATGGTCCAGGTCTAAAAAGTAAGTCACCAACATGAAATGTCTGGAAAGCTCTAACGTAGTTTAGTTGGAAACATTAGTGTGGGTATAATTCAAAGATATAGCTGAATTAGTCTGGAATATCAAATCTTGTCATAGAGGCTAACTGAGAATCAAGTTGGTAGCATAAGTATTCTTAGATGAATCTAAATAAAAAGACTTAGTCTATTAAAAGGTATGCTAGGAATTCTAGTCTCAAAAGGCACAACAATATGCTTTGTATTAATGTGAGTAGCCACTAGGCTAGGAATAACAAGAGACAATTTAATCAAGCAATTTCCTGAGGTGTGATGGGACTCTAAATTGAACGAGAAGTATTTAAAAATGTATTTGAAGGTGATTTTTTGATCAAAAGCAGAGTTTTCTGGGTGCCATAGACTCAAAGGATGTGCTGGACAATTGACAATGATGGCAACAATGCATATTTTTATGAATATATAGCTTCATGCTCATATCTACCTTGGCCATTGATGGAGCAGTTAGGTATACATTACTCCAAACACAATAATTTATTGTTAATATAGTGCATAATTAAGACATTTAAATGGCTAAAGATTTTCTATATCTTGGTTCACCCATGCATCGAGGAACCAGAAAGCAGCTGTAAAGGAAAAAAAGATATTCAAGTGGAAAAAGATACATGATTAAATACCAGAGTCACATGCCAAAAAGACTAATAAATGAGTCCAAGAGCAAATTTAACTTGAACTCTTTCAAGAAGCCAAAATGACTAATCTGAGGAAACCGTACTTTGGAAATTTAATGAGATGACGTGACTAAGTGTAAATGATATTAATGCTCAGTACAGTGGAAAGAAAAAGGAAAAAGAAGATGGTATTACACACAGATTGAGTTAATCCAGGAAGCCACAGCCTTGACCTTCCAAGACCAAAGCAGAGCTGATGATGACCAGTCTTTTGGGGGAATTGTATTTATACAGTTGCCATAAATCAAAGCCAAATTGACACCAGCAAATAAGTGTCTGCATTAGCATATAACTAAAAGGCAACTGTATTAACTTTACCCCCCCCCCCTTTAATCTAGGTATGTAGTTGTTTTAAGAAATCCTTATGTTTTTTTTAAAGATATAACCTTCCTGATTAAAGTCCATATAGGCTGAATATTCCTTATCTGAAATGCTTGGGACCAGAAGTGTTTTGGAGTTCATGTATTGTTTTTATTTAGAAATGCATTTATTTGCATATAGATACTTAATGAGATATCTTGGAGATAGGAACCAAGTCTAAACAAGAAATTAATATATACAGTATTTAATATTTAATATTTAACACATAGCCTGAAAGTAATTTTATGCACAGTATTTTTAATGTTGTGCATAAAATAAATTTTGTGAACCATTTTGTCACCCATGCAAACAATTTAGGATTCTGGAGGATGTCAGAAATCTGGATAATGGATGCACAACCTATATTATTATCGACTGTACAAAAACCTATTTTATTACCCTTTGATTGCGTATGTTTTTGTGCCAGATTCTTATTGTGCTTTAGTTAATATTTAGTATTAAAATCAGCCCTCCATATTTGCTGGGGTTAGGGGTACAGGACCACAAGGAAAGTGAAAAACCCTGAATTCAGAATCTGATACTTTTTTAAAACATGAGAGTACACATTGTGTTGTCGAAAGCTTTCATGGCAGGAATCACTGGGTTGCTGTGTTTTCTGGGCTGTATGGTCATGTTCCAGAAGCATTATCTCCTGAATGCTTCTGGAATGAATGGTCTTGCAGCATCAAAGCCTGGCTGCTTCCTGCGTGTGGAAATCCTTTGTTGGGAGGTGTTAGCTGGCCCTTCCAGGTGGGAGGGAGCCAGGCTTTGAAGTTGCAGTGCCATTCAATGCTAATCAAGGTGGCCAATTGCAGCATTCACACATGCCTCAAGCAGACGAGTTCTTTCTCCCACCCTGGACATTCTACAGATATATAAACCTCACTTGCCTAATTTCCAAGAGACCTCACAACCTCTGAGGATGCCTGCCACAGGTGTGGGCAAAATGTCAGGAGAGAATGTTTCTGGAACATGGCCATACAGCGCAGAAAACTCATAGCAATGCAGAGCACTCATAGCTAGGTCCGTCTTTCAGAATGATTCAATGCAATGGCCAACTTCCACTGGAAACTGACCACAGAATTGCATTGGAGAGCCTAGAGCAGTAGTTCCCAACCTTTTTTTGGGGGGGGGGAGGGAGGGGAGGTCATGCCCCACCTTAGCATCTCTAAAATCCTTATATCCACCCCCTTTTTTAAACCATTAATTTGGTCTGAACAAGCTTACAAATAAAGTGGGATCCATCTATATAAATAAATATTAACGTTCGTTTGTGGGATTAACGTAACTCAAAAACCACTGGGCAGATTGACAACAAATTTGGACGCAAGATGGATAAGAAGAAAAAGGAAGAGAAGAGAAAGGAGGAGAAGGAAAGAGGGAGGGGGAAGAGGGGGAGGAAAGAAGAAAAGGGGATGAGGAGAAAAAAAGGAAGGGCAGAAGAAGGAAAAGGAAGAGGTGAAGAGGAAGGCGATAGGAAGTGGAGAAAGAGGAGAAAGAAATGGATGAGGATAAGAAAGAAAAGGAAGAGAATAGAAAGGAGGAGAAGGAAGAGGGAGAGAAGAGGAAGAGAGGAAGGAAAAGAAGAGAAGGAAGGAAGGATAAGGAGGAGGAGAGAGGGGAGAAGGGAACGGACAAGAAGGAAAAGAAAAAAGGAATGGTGAGGAGAAGAAGAGAGGGGAGATGGAAAAGGAAGAGGTGAAAAAGGAAAAGAAGAGAAGAAGGAAGGAAATGAGGGATAGGAAGAGAATGAAAAGAGGCAGGAGAGGAAGTAAAGGAGGAAGCTAAAGAGGAAGAGATGGAAACGAGGGAGAGGAAGAGAACGAAAAGGGGCAGGAGAGGAAGTGAAGGAGGAAGCTAAAGAGGAAGAGATGGAAACGAGGGAGAGGAAGAGAATGAAAAGAGGCAGGAGAGGAAGTGAAGGAGGAAGCTAAAGAGGAAGAGATGGAAACGAGGGAGAGGAAGAGAATAAAAAAGGGCAGGAGAGGAAGTGAAGGAGGAAGCTAAAGAGAAATAGCTAAAAGAGGAAACAAGGAAGGAGGAAGGAAGCGCGGAGAGATGGGAGAAGGAAAAGGAAGAAGAGAAGAAGGAAAAGATGAGAAGGAAGGAAGGATAAGGAGGAGGAGAGAGGGTAGAAGGAAAAGGAAGAGGAGAAGGCGGCAAAGGAGGAGGAGGAGGAGAAAATGGAGCATGACCAGGCGGAGTCGCCCCTGGCGCCCTGCGGAGGGAGTCCCGCCTCCTGCCTGCCTGGGCGCTGGTGCCGCAGTGCCGTGCGCTGCCTCCGGGTCCCGCCAGGGGGCGCTCGTGTCCCCGGGCTGAGGCGGCTTCGCGAGGAGTCAGCCGAGGAGCGGGCCACCGAGGAGGAGCTCGCTTGCTTGCCCGCCGAGTGGAGTGGAGCGGAACGGAGCCAGGGCCCGAGCGGGAGCAGGAGGAGCCTGGGCCCGAGTGGAGCTGGCCTTCCCTGTTCGGCACCCTCCTCCCCCCCTGCCCGCCCGCCCGCCCGCCATGCAGGCCCCGCGGTGGCGGCGCCTCCTGAGGTGAGCGAGCCCCTCGCCCGGCAGGCCCTTCTGCTCTCCACCTCCTCCGCCCAGGCCCCAGTCTCCCTCCCTCTCTCTCTCTTTCCCTCTCCCTGAGGCTTTTGTCCTTCCTGAGCCCCAATTGGGAAGGAGCCTTGTCTCCCGCCTTGCGCCCCCTTCTTCTACCTCCTCCTTCACCGGCCGAGCAGGCCCCCCTCGCCGCCTCAGGAAAGAGTTGGGGGCGCCTCGTTGGGGGCAGCGCCCTCCCCCTCCTTCCCAGGTGGCCGCAACAACAACAACCCTCCCCCCCCTCCCCCTCGGCACTGCCCACCCCCCTTCAGGACGGGCCCTTACGTCCTTTCCCCTCCTCGGGGCCCTTCCACACAGCCCTCTATCCCAGAATATCAAGGCAGAAAACCCCACATTATCTGAGTGTGGACTCTGGGCCCTTCCACACAGCCCTATATCCCAGAAGATCAAGGCAGAAAATCCCACATTATCTGAGTTTGGACTCAGATAACCCAGTTCAAAGCAGATATTGTGGGATTTTCTGCCTTGATATTCTGGGATAGAGGGCTGTGTGGAAGGGCCCTCGGAGTAACCCTCCAGACCTCCTCCTCCTCCTCCCCTGTCCATACTCCTTGCTTGTTTTTGCAGTTCTTCCTTCTTGCACCCATCTTTCCTGCTCTGCTGCTTCATAAGATGTATCTCTCTCTATGTATGGGTGTGCGCATCTATGACACAAAATAGGACATCTCTCTGGCCCCTTCCACACAGCTGAATAAAATCCCACAATATCTTCTCTGAACTGGATATCTGAGTCCACACTGTCATATATTCCAATTCAGAGCTGAAAATGTGGGATTTTATTCATCTTTGTGGGAAAAGGCCTGGAATACCTCCAGCCCCTTCCACACAGCTGAATAAAATCCCACATTATCTGCTTTGAATTGGAATATATGGCAGCGTGGACTCAGATAACCCAGGGCCCTTTCACACAGCCCTATATCCAAAAATATCAAGGCAGAAAATCCCACACTATCACCTTTAATTGGAATATATGGTAGTGTGGACTCAGATAACCCAAGGCCCTTTGAAACAACCCTATATCCAAGAATATCAAGGCAGGAAATCCCACACTATCTGCTTTGATTTGGCATATATGGCAGTGTGGACTCAGATGACCCAGGGCCCCCAGTGCAAAGCAGATATAGTGGGATTTTATGCCTTGATATTCAGGGTTATATGGCTATCTGGAAGGGCCCTGAGCCCACTGTGCCATATATCCCAGTTCAAAACATAACTAGGATTTTATTCAGCTGTGTGGAAGCGTCCAAAAATAACCCAGTTATGGATTATCTGCCTTGATATTCTCGGTTATATGGCTGTGTGGACCCCCCCCCCATCTATATATAATGGCACAAAATAAGTATGTGCATATATATTTATGCATGTATGTGTACACACACACAAACATACAGACAGTCCCTGAGTTGCAAACATCCAACTCATAGTTACAAACAGGAGTGAGACAACAGGGGAGCCTTCCACACAGCCCTATATCCCAGAATATCAAGGCCCACAGGTTGAGAACCACTGATATAGGCAGGTTTCCCCCCCCCCTCCCCGCCACAGATATATATCTGATACGGCTCCTGTTTGCTACGTGTCTTATTTTGTGCCTGCCTGAGGTGCTTTCCGTTGACCTGGCTTAATTCTTTGCAAATAATGTGTTTCCTATTAAAATAATTTGAAAGGTGCCACTGTCGCTGAAGGAGACTGATTTTTGGGACACAAGGTTACTTTGAATCATCTTTGTAGTTATGCCTGTGTAAACAGCGTTCATCCTAGTGATAAAACTGACTAGACAGATTTTTCAAGCGGTGCCTTTTTCATTCATAGTAATGTGGATAGGGAGGCCCAGATGATGCAATAAGCTGTTCTTTACTTTTATTATGGGCATTACAGGAAGTTATCTTGCTTGAATGCTTAGGTGTTGGCCATCTGAGGCATTTATGTGTATTGGACTGAAATGCATTCGAACAACCTATTGTTTTATTAATAGATTTGAATAATAAGAACAGGCCCAGAGTGCAAAATCTAGAAACTCTGAATGATTTGGAGAAGTTAATATAAATTTTCAGCTCTGAGCCTGTTCTTGTGCATGTATACCTTACAATTGATGCAAATTTCGAAGAGGCTAATAGAACGAGGAAGGAAACATAGAGGTCATGCTGGAGGTTAAAAGGACAGCTGATGTGTAGGACATAGATACTTAGAATGATAATGTCTCATTTATTTAATATAATAAACCCTGAACGTATATATACAGGAATGAGTTCTGGTTTGAGTAATGTCTAATAGTGTCTAAAGGTTCACATGCTCTTCTGGGCTTGGCCTTACAGGGAACAAAATGAATAAATACACTTTATTAGTTAGCAGTGCAAAGGTGCAATCATGTGCTAGCAAACAGTTATCTTTCAGGAGTCTATTTCACACTCCATATCTTTTGAATTGTAATTGCCAGAACTTCCTGAGACAAAATATGTGAAGTACTTTCCAGATTAAACAGTAAGCAGACTATTACTTTGTATGTTATCATGTGGTAAATGTAGGGGTTTGAAGGTTTGTTGGTAGAACTTATTTTTATTTCATAGCTGATCATACTGGATTTCTTAAATTCTTAGTGTCCCCCCCCCCCCCTAAACATCTCTAAAAATAGGTTGGGTCTTAGAATGTTACACATATAAATAAAGTTGTTTTTTTCTGTTGGTGGTACTGAAATTACTATGCATCTTGGTGTCTTAGAACCAAAAAAAATGGTTTGTAATGATTTCTGTAAATTAGATATAATGCTGACACAGGGGCTCTTTAAATATTATGCAAGTAGTGTGGAAACCATTGAACGGAAGGCAGTTTTCATTACTGCAAACTTTGAAGGAACCTTGTCTGTTTTGTTTAGATATTTACTAACAACCAATAAACATGCATGCTTTATGACTTCAAGTCTTGAGTTAGATCTCATCTAAATTTACCTTTAGTCTACATTTAAGGGTTGTAGATATTGTGCACTTTAAAAATGTAGAGTAAACCATTAACACTTCAAGTTCCAAGTAAAGACAACATAATATACTGTATAATTTCAACTATGACTTATATAGTTTCTTTTGCAGCTGTTTTGATGTAAAATTCGACAAGAGAACTAGTTTTAAAATACTGCATCAGTGGAGGATGGGTTGCTCAGTCAGAGTATCTCTTTTTCTTGCGAGACTGAACAGATGAATATATTTCAGAGAGTTGTAGCATTTGACCTGAATCTATGACACATATTTAAAGTAGACCAGTTGAATCAATATTATTTACTTAAGAACTGACAGTAAGTTACTTTTGATGCAATTAGTCTATTTTAATTTGAGTCTGCTAGTTGGATTTAAGCCTCTATATGTCTCTTGATGCCTCTTTTCTCTTGAAATGGAGAGTATATTTCTAGTCCACTGGACTTTATGGGAAAGAAATGTAAACTGATACAAAGGTTGGTCAATAATTGTTTACACTCTATTCTACTGTGGAAACTGTCTTCCTAGATATTGCTGGATACAACTCCCACCATGTTTGACTCTTGACCACAAGACTGAGGGCAGATGGGAGCTGAAAACAGCACCAGGAGGGCCACAGATCTCAATACTTAGCTTAAGATGTGTTAATTTTCATTAAGTCAGCCTAAACTTATTAGTAGTGAACAAGAGACCTCCAAGTTACCTTTTGCTTCCTTGTTTGAGTCTATCCACCTTGAGTGCAATCTTTTTCTTTACTTACTGCCTTGTACCTTGCCTGGCATCAATGTCTTTTCTAGTGAGGCATGTCTTTGCATGATATGTACAAAGTAAGACAGTCTCAGCTTAGTCATCTTGGCTTTTAGGGAGAGTTCAGGCCTGATTATCTTTAGACCAATTTATTTGTCTTTCTAGCAGCCCACAAGCCTTGCTTCCAGCATCATGTTTCAGATTAGTTTATTCTCTTCCTGTCAGCTTTTTTTTTAATGTCCAGCTTTCTCAACCTTATTTAGAGACCAGAAATACAGTGTCACGGACAATCCTTAATTTGCTATCCTTTTACATTTTTAGATGTCTAATGTCTAATGACAAGCATTGCTAATACATATTTAGGATTGAACTAACAGAAGTGATAAATAATTGATTATACCCTTTTGCTATCAGTGTAATAATAATAATACATTTTATTTATTACCAGTCTCTCCTGATGGCTTGATGTGGGGTACAACATATTGAAATATATAAACATAAAATATATACAATAAGTTACATAGATAAAAACACACAAAATATATAAAAACTTGCACCAAACACAGATAAAAATGACTTATAATAGAAATAGAATGTAAATCAAAACTTACGATTGAAAGTTGACTGTTGGAAGAGATGGGTCTTCAATTGCATTTTAAATTCCAACAACTCATTTAGCTGTTGGAGCTCTTTCAGCAGGTTGTTCCAGTCATCAGGCAGCCAAAGAAAAGGTATTCTGGATGACAGTTGCCAGTCAGGTTCTGGATAGCCGCCCTGAGTCCCCCTAGGGGTGAGAAGGGCGGGGTATAAGTGAATGAAATAAATAAAATGGTTCCCCCAGAAGACTTAAGTGTCTTACAGGGCGGATTGTGCAGGAGAAGTTCCGAAGGATTATATTTTTACATAATCCCTAAAAAGAACTTTACAATCATACTTCAATTAATAAATCCTTTGACAAACTCATTTTCCCTTTTAATGAGAGCCCAGACCTACCCTTTCTTCTTCGTTTTCTTTTTTTGTCTTTTTCTAGCTGTATTTTCCCCCTACAGCACTGGCATTGTGGGAATGGTGAAAAATAGACGTTCAGTGCTGGGTTGCAATGCAATAAAGCCCAACTTGGGAAAGAATAGAATTTTACTCTACACATGATCCTACTGCATCCGTATGTGCTATTATACAACAGGCAAATTAAACACCTGCCTCCAAAATCACTTACTG